TCCTTTCCAACCTAGTGATTCTGTGAAATAATGAAGCTCTTGCAAATATTACCAAGAGATACTATCACAGTCCTCATGGGGTTTTGCATTTGATTCCTTACCTATAAAGAGTTCAAACACTGGGAAAAAGCATTTCATATTCTAATGTGCTTATCTGACTATCAACTTTTGTTATCACCTTGTGCTGACAGGTCATAGACTGTCAGTGACTGGTCACTACAGGAATGGCAGAAATGGAACAAGAGCAGGAGAACACCTATCTTATAAAGCACAGGTTTACTTCATCATGCAATAGTACTGTAAAACTGCATTAAAAATACTAGCAAGTAGACCGCCAGCCACTCACAAATACTTTGTGGGAAAAAATAACTCATGTTTCCTTTTATTTCCATTTTAAATAACTATGTTCCTAATACATTATTGTATCCAGGAAATAAAATTACAGTAAAACCAGAACAACTTACAGGAGGACCAGGAAGACCTTGAAGACCAGTGAAACCCCTGTGTCCTTTCTGGCCCCTATCACCTCGATCTCCATTGTCACCTTTGTCACCACGAGGTCCTTGGGGACCCTGTAAATATCAGTGATAAAATGTAAAAATCTGAACTGGAAAAAACCTCAAAAACCCCTCACTCGCTTTTAGACACCTCATTCAGAACTCCTAAAGCTAGAAAGAAGTTCATGCTGGGACACATCCAAGAAACTTGAAGACTAAGTAAATAATTACAGAAAATTGTGTTGTGCTTAATCATACTTGCGGTAAGTTTAGTCTATTTAGCTTCATAATACAGTCAACCACCACCCCAGTAATAACAATACTAAATCATTTACATAACAAAATTTTTAAGATTGAGAAATTTCTTTGCCTTACTGGATATGGCAAATGATTTTTATAGATGAGACTGAAATATTGTGGATCTCTCACACACTAATAATGATAAAATGTATTTTCAGTATGAAATCTTCCATGTTGCATCTTTACTTCTCACAGCTCCTTTCACCTTAACGGTGATTAAAGTACCACTGAAGTTACATTCCCTGACTACAGACAAAAATGTTCAGAATCCCCAGTACAAATAGCTTGGTTCTACTGCCATCACAATTTCATTCTTGGTATTTTTGATCATTTCAAACTTTTCATACAAATTTAAGAATCACTGGAAAAAATGGCTTCTGCTTTCAATTCTATATTTCTCAGCCCGAATTGCATGCTAAACTTCTCAGTGCCAGATTCCAAATCAATGGCGTCATTATCTCTAACTACTCAATAAACTTTTCCTGTCTCTCATATGACATCTGCTTAGGGACAGGGCAACATTCTTTTCAATTTCCCATGTTTGCAATTAATTTTTGTTCCAAACTTGGATTCTAGAAGAGTTATGTAACACAAAAAGATGGGTTTTGTTTGTTTTTCCATTTGGACTGAAGTCAGAATCTCATGAGTTGAATTAAGGCAGTTTCATCGGAACAGGTGATTTTCTTACAGTTCTGCCATTTTCATCTAAAAGTGTGCCTTTTTGTTCAGCATTCATTTCTTTACCCTTTATTTGCATTGTCAAACACAGACTCCAGCCATTTGCTAACTCAGGTCCTACCATCCAGACAGCAACACAACTCCAAATAAAAAGGCTTCCAAAGCATTTGTTATTTCTCTGCGAAGTATTTTTAAAGAAAGTGTAAAAATACTAGTGTATTCAAACAGATTTGTACAGCTTTGCAGCTCAGAAGACTACCTGCATGCACTTGCAGTTGGAACACCAAAAGTTGAAGTCCTATTTAGCATTCTAATTTGGGCTGTTTCTCATACACTTTCCTGTAAAAAGAGTCTCAGATAAAACCACAATGACCACAGAGAACTTACAGGCAAACCTCTTTTTCCTGCACGACCTGGGGGACCCATTGGACCTCGAGAACCCTACAAAGATTGCATACAGAAGATATGTGAAGCAATAAACAAAAGCATACACAATAGTTTTTTGATAAACAAAGTATTAAACAAAAAAAAGTCTCACTTACAGTTTCACCTCTTTGACCCGCATCTCCTGGAGGGCCAACAGGACCTGGAGTTCCCGGACCGCCTGGGGAACCTGGTAAGCCTGCAGGGCCAGGTTCACCACGATCACCCTGCAAAACATAATTTCAACATTATTTATCTAAAAACGACTGGACTAGACTAAAGCAACAGGTCTCTAGTAGTGCTAATCTATTTTCTAGCAATTACAATCTACAAAGATATGCCTTCTGTAAGAACTCCAGTCTGAGTTTGTGGAGGCAGGTGTTCTTAGCCTCTTAGCCACGTTTCCTCAACTTTGAGAGGTACTACTTATTCAAAGCTGTGATACACTTTCAGAACAAGTTCTCCATTCAACTTAACTGAATGAAGATAAAATCTACAATAAGTCAATAATATAACTGAGATTTCCAGAAGTGACTTAAGAAAAAAATATATTCTTACACGTTCTCCAACAGCTCCATCTCGTCCAGGAGTACCATCATTACCAGCAGGTCCCTAGAGTTATGGAATAAAAATAGGGTTATTGATTAGCTCTGTAATCTTGCATTTCTGTAAGCAGAACTACAAACTTGTTCTGCACCTCTAACTTCAAGTCGAGGAGAATAACCACTAGACTGTCCTTTTTGCATGTTATGAGGCTCTAATACTTACTTCTGGACCAGCTTCACCTACAGGTCCAGTGGCACCTGACTGGCCAATAGGTCCTGGGGGACCTTTATCACCAGGTGGCCCTGTGGGACCTTGTTTTCCTGGTGTACCCTAAAAAAGATGAGAAATACCATATAAAAATTTTAATCACAAAACAAAGAATGCACAAACAAACTGCTGCCTGCAAAACACTACTTATTACTCCAGTCTGAAGTACCACCAGCATTTGTAACTTTCAAAAACGGATAATTAAGGAAAATGCTCTTATAGATTTTGAATATATATTTAATATGCTGTGTATTTTAAGCAGTTTAATTGTGTTAGTTGCTTTTGAATAGGCTTTTACTGACTAGAAGCTGCACTTTAAGTTAGTCTATCTAGTAGCAACTCTCTTAAGCACACACTCCCTCAATAGAGCAGTATGTCTGATGGCATTATTTTCCATAAGTTAAGTCTTTTCAACTCTGGAAAAATGTAATGCAGTCTGAAATAAGTAATATGATTTTTTTCTTCTTCTGTCTCGACATCAATACATCTTGTTAGCTTGGAATAATTTCTGGCCAACTTGAACTGTAAATTGACTTTGTGGATCCAGTGGTAATGGCAGATCCTCCATACCATCCCTTTTTCTAATACTCTATTTAATGACTTGATCTCCTGGATTATTAGGCCTGCCAATAAATACCTATAAATCCTACACAGAAGCAAAGAGATGGCAATTTTGAAGGTTGTAGTTCACAATTTATGAAATAGCAGTTACAGAATATTTACATACAAGTGACCTTTGGGCACTTAAATGAAAAGTCTGGGGTTGTTTTTTTCAAAGATCTAGTTTTGAGCCAAACAGGAACATTTTAGCCAGAAGTCTTAATGCTATTACCCACTTACTCTTAATTCAGGTTCAGATATTCCATTGTGGTGGAAACAAAATCTCCCACCTCCTGTATTTGCATAAGATTTAGTTATTTACTATTCTCTCTATATTCGCTCCTGCAATTGGAGTTTTCCAGCTTTCTCCTTGTGCTATGGGGCACTACGCTCTCAATCACAAAGACCGTGAGAATGTCCAAGCTGGTGGTATATTGACTTCATTATTACTTACTGCAGGACCCGGCAGCCCTGGCATGCCTCTCTCCCCTCGCTGTCCTGGCATACCAACAATACCTCTTTGACCAGTAGTTCCTGCTGGACCAGGGGGGCCATCCGGGCCCTGAAATCCACAACAGGTAAAACAACGTTACTGTCATTTCAGTAGCAATAAGTATAAGTAACAATGAGACCAAGCCTAGAGCTGGTCTAGGGACAATTAATAACATCACCCCGGACATACCGGCTGTCCGTCTTCCCCTGCATCACCCTTGTCTCCAGGACCACCAGGAGGCCCAGCAGGCCCTCGATCTCCCACACGGCCATGAGAACCAGGATCACCACGAAGACCTGGGGGACCCTCTTTTCCTGGCTCACCAATAGGTCCAGCAGGCCCTGGAGCTCCCTAAGAAGATTAAAACACCTCATTACATTGGACCCTTTTCTGATCAGGATGATTAAATCCTAAAGGACTGTGTTTTCATTAACAATATGCAGTTTTCATTATCAATATACAGACTCTATGGAAGGCCCAAAGTGTGAATGAGCTAAGAGCTATTATAATCTCATTTATGAGCAAATAAATGAGATTAAGTAATCATCTCATCAAATTACGTCCAAGCTCCACGCCCCCCCCAATTTGCAATTGCAAACTCCCTCCTTTAAAAGACACTCTTCTTTTTGTTTCTTTCTTTTTTTATTTTTTTTTACCTCAGGCATACAGCTACTTCTAGAAAACTCACCCTTGCCCATTCTTTCCAATATCATCAAGCTAAAGACCATATTCAAACTTTTCATTCACATGGTTCAAATTAGTGCTTTAATGGACCTCTGTTCATTTCTCAAATACTTTTAAAAGACTTCACCTTTTGATAAACTCACACCAACTTCAAGTTACTTTTCTCATCAAAACAGTAAAAGGCATGTGAAGAGAGCATCACAGTTCTGTGTGGAGTTGAATTCTCACTTGTTGATCCACAGCTAATTCTTTTTTTAGTGTTCCTGAATATGTTTAGACATGAGAGATTTTATGAGTATGTTTTGGGGTTTGGGGTTTTTTTTTTTTTCATTTATTTTAAGGGATCTTATGAGTATCTCCACCGATACCTGAACCCAGCAGAGGCCTCTTCCAAAAACTCCCCTAACTTTAGTCACTACTGAAGAGACAAAAAAGTAAAAAGTACAGGAATATGTAGGTTGTTGTTTTGTTCCCATAAGCAATTAAGTCATTAGAGCAGTTTGAACAGCTCAAAGCCTACTTAACTCAGTGAAAAGTCATGCACTAATTTGGACACACTGACACTGGATCAAGTCCAAGACTAATGAGTTTTATCTAATGAAGTCGGATGCAAGCATGTAGTCACAGAAGTCAGTGCTGACAATCTGTTGTCCTCTATAGCATCAGGCCACAAACACTGCTTCACCTTTCCTGCTTTGTTTAGTCTTCAGGTTTTCAATGACCAATTCATAAAACACACCTATTAGGAGTATGACAATTGACTTACAGTAGGTCCTGGCGGCCCAACTCTTCCAGCTGATCCTGGGAATCCAGTGGCACCCTAAAAAACATTTTAATACCAACTTTATTGAAAGAAATACAGCATTGGTTACCTGAAATGTTCTCAGCCAAATTAGTGAGCAAATGTTCTAATTACAGACTCTGAAAAACGAGCTGAGCTGAGGAATGATACACATACTACATAAAATTTCAATATTAGATTATCTGCAGTCAGGTCAAAAAAAGTAAAGTCTACTTACAGGTGGACCCTGAGTTCCTCTACCACCTTTCAGACCAGGAACACCTGGAGGGCCCTAAGAGGAAAGGAGAAAGAGAGGGATGATAGTGAAAACCCGTTTTTAGGACATGTATGACATCTTAAAGAAGAAAGATCAGCCTATGCCACTGGTTCTCTGACAATGTTATTTATACTTACTGGTGGACCGGGAGACCCAGCAAGACCCTGTGGTCCTGGAGATCCAGCATCTCCTTTCTGACCAGGTTCTCCAGGTTCACCTTTCACACCTGGCTGACCATCAGGGCCCTGTAAGAAATAATATTTAGAAGAGACATCAAGTCAGAGCGTACCAAATCTTTCCAGCCAAAGTCATTTTGTAGGGTATTTCCAGAAGGCAAAAAATAACAGGAGAACAAATAAGCTCACAAAACAGTGCATTTGCTCATGGTTCAGATCAAGAGAACTGTAACAGTTCAGCACAGTCTTCATATGATCACAGATGGGATTTTCTGAAGTCTGTGAATTCAGAATTTCCATTTAAAATATTTTCTTATCTAACTCACATTTTTCTTTCCTTTAGATTTTCTATTTTCCTCAGCAGCTATTACATACCTTAAAGCAAAAGGGACTGAAAAAACATTGTCTTTTCTAGTCTTTCTTTTCCCACCAAGGGAAACAGCTGCCTGACTCCTTGTGAAAGGTCTGAAACTTCATCTCTAGGCTGTGGGAAAGTTTGGGGTATTCACCGGAAAACTCACAAACCTTCCATTTGGTCCATCAATTCATTCCAGCCTTCACTACTCACAGAGCAAATCTTTGCTACCTTCAGTAGATGACACTTTAGAACTTGCCTCATTTAAATCTCAAAGGAGCAACATAGCACATTCACGAAAATTTGAAATCTCGTTAACAATTACATAATCTTATCAACAAAACCACTTTTCAAGTGTCTAGGGTATTTATTGGCCCTTTTCTTTACTTGATACACTGATGGGAAAAAGAAATAGCTCTTTTTGCAACAAAAATGTGACTCACGTTCCAGAACACTGCAGTATTACTCATAATGAAGGAAACTAAGATGTCAAAGCATGACTAAAGGAAACTCATTAGTGTTACAAAACACATACCGGAGGACCAGCAAAACCAACAGCGCCAGTTGGGCCATTTTCTCCTCGGGAACCCTAGTTAAAAAATTTAGAATAACTGTATTTAACATAAAAGTCTTTCTATATACAGTATAATTTGCAGTTAAATATACAAGAAGGCATGTTAACTATTTACTGTCCAAAATGCGATTATACTTTTGCTCTATTAATCAGAATCAAATGATCTTTTAATCACAAAATAAATGATGTTAACTATGATGTTAAGATCTGCCATGTATTCAAGACTATATGTAAACTTTCAGACTTTACAGATGTGAGTGCAAGCACTAAAACTACAACAGGAGAAATTCTGCTCACAACGACTTCCAATGATAGCAGGATTAGCCAAAGTGCACACACTTTATGCAACCTACCATTCCAATCAGATAGACTGGGAAAAAAAAAGAATATTTCAAAGATGTGCTCTTCTACATGGTCAGGATGGGCTATGAGCTGCTTCAACTGAGCTTTCCACACAATGTTTGTTTGGAAAAAGGAGAAGCTGAAGGCTGCCAAGCTCCAGCATGCCCCAGAGGGGTGGAAGCTATTCCAATTTACACTGGAAATAAGGCTGTTCTCATTTATGACAGAGACATAATCAATTCCAAGCAGCATGAAGGACCTAGAAGGGCTGAGCCTCTAAATCCCTACTCAAAGTCAAACCTTAAAATCCTTAAAAGCACAAATAGACCAAAGATGACAAGAGTTGGTGTAATTAGATGAAAACTAAGCCATACTTCTGTGTTTTGTCCATCTAAATATTTGTATGTGTATAATAGTATCTGGTAAGGGCATACTTTTAAAAATACTTAAATAATTAAAAGTGGTGGCATACTTTCAGGAGTGAGGTAAATTAGGGTAACTCTATGTAAAGACTTCCCTAAAACAAGCATAGGACAGAGGAACAAAATCTGCCAATAGTTTTGCAAGTGCACAGCATCAAGACAGAACTACAGATTCTGGCTACAAAGAAAGGGGAAGAAAAAGAGGAAAATATATCAGCAAATGAGACAAAACCTGGAGTTTGGATCAGTGTTAGATATTGCTAACTTATGCCAGGCAAAAACTAAATATGTTTACTCACAGGGTTTCCACGGGAGCCAGGAGGACCAACTAGACCTCGAGGACCTGGTTCACCCTTAAAATAAAATTAAAGGTTATTTCCCAAGTAACTTATTAGACAAGTAGCAAAAGTGCTAATAAAGTATGATAATATTAAGAAACTTCAATAGAGAATGGCATAAAAATCTATTTACCTTTTCACCAGTGGGACCTGCTGGACCCATGGGGCCTATTGGACCAGGGAGACCCTTTTTAACAAATCAAGATAAAAGGAAGTTAAAAAAGTGATGCTTCAAAACCGTTATCTTAAAACTTCTCATATGTTACTATTTCCATATGCTTTTTCATTTCTTTAAATTATTCCCCTTTATCTCTGAAATCTTGTTGGGTCTCAAATTTTGTTGGGTCTTTTAAAATTTACTTGCATTTTCTCTCCCAGTGACCAAAATCCTATATCTCAAAAGCCCTGCTTTCATTCATTCCCTCTTTCTTCACTAACTTCATCTTCTACTTTATGCAGTGTTTATGAATAAGGCCAATGATAAAAAATAAAGCCCTAGCTTTATTTTGCTCTCTCAGATAGAAATTCTGTCCTTTTATCCCCACTTGGAGAGAAGCTCTCTGTTTTATGCTAGTATTTCATTGCTTAAATCAATTTTAATGTGCCCATCATTACTTTTGAAGATTAATTTAATATCTTGAAAACTCCTCAGAAGTGTCTTTTTCCTCTTCGTAGGGCAGTTAGGCAAACAGGTTCCAATCTCTCCATCCAAACCCACCAACTGCACATAACGATCCTGAAGCACTATTCATATTACCTTCTTGAATATTTAGCTATTCCAATTACAATTCTCTTTCACTAAAAGCAGAGTACCACGAACTTGCACCAAGTTTACCTCGAACAATACTCCCCCTCCCCAAAAATCTGCACTGTAAGTAACTTAGTTCAAACTGAAGAGAAATACAAAAAAGACAGTGTTAACAAAGGATACTGCATCACCATCAATGCTCTAGTGATCAGTAGCAGATACCTGCAGATACGTAACTTTAGAAGAGGGATGTACATTTAGTTCACCATTACTTTAACAGTTCATTAGTTACTGTAAGCTGTGTTGCCTTACAATGGCTAAGAACTGTTCTGTATCTTTGGATACTGTCTGACTTAGAATGAAATTCCAGCTCACAGTTTCTAATTGTGAGTTAGTGCTTCTGTATGCTAGGTTTTGTCCAAAAAACTTCTCCTCTTTAACTAGAAGTTTAGTTCAGTCAGAATCCTCATCTTTCCTACATATCTCAGATTTCCAAAGGCCTAGCTGTTAGTACTCCAACCGGCTTGCAAAACCCAAGGATCTCAGATAGATGCACTTTGTGTAAAAAACTAACTGCAGCAGCTTATGGGAAGAAAATACAGTCAGTACATATACAGCAAACCCAGTACATTAGGATTATTGCACAGTTGGTCTATGTAGAAGCATGCATGCAACCTGTCTTGAACATACTGGATTTACTGCATGTGAGCAGACCAGCCGTGTTATTCATGCACAGCAGGTTCAAAGCTTTCCAGAAGTGTCAGTGACTTACTGCCCATATGAGGATCAGAACACAGCAATTTTTGCCTCAGGACAGACCACAGACAACTCAATCCAAACAATAAAGAGGCATTTGCCTTAGTCCAAGAGTCAGAACTGGTGGGTTTGCTTTTTGGCTATTGATCTCTGCCTGTCCCTTTTTTCATATTTTTACTACAGTCAGCTTAGCTGAATCCCAAATGAACACGCCACTTCTGGGAATCCTTTCCACTGACATCTTAACTCCCATTATTGATTATACGTAACACAGGCTTGGAACACAGACATCCCATTACATTGTGTACAGCAGTCTTGAAAAACTTGAAGATAAAATTTGAAGGGTAGGGGGAATGAGAATAAGTGTCAATCCATGATATCACCAAGTTGAGCAGTGTTTAACTCTATGAGCTGAATACCTCTAGCACAATAAACAATCTGATGTGTGGAGAGTAGGTGTAAAAACAGAGATAGGTTTACTTACTCTTGCCCCATCGTTGCCAGCTGTACCTTCAGCACCTTTCTCACCTATGCCGCCCTACGGAAAATAGCCAGAAACTCTCAGTTATGACACTGAAAGCCGAGTAGTTCATACCCTGAAACAATTATAATATTAAGAGACAGGTAATTCTACTCAGCACAACAGAAATAACTAGACTTACTCTATCGCCCTTGGGGCCCGGGGTTCCAGCAATCCCTCTTTCTCCAGGCATACCTTGAAGACCCGGTGGGCCTGGATCACCAGGCGTCCCACTAGGGCCTGGGCTTCCCTGAAAGAAATAAGAACAAGTTGTTGTCTATTCATCTGAGAAGTATCTTTGTCTCTAGGCTGCAGAAAACACTGTGCCTGTGTTGAAGTCTCTGGGGTACAGTTTTAAGTAATAATTTTCTCTTAAATTTGGACTTTATTCATGTCCAAATACTTTTCTTTTCCCATTGTGTTACTCAGGAAGTTCAGCTGTAATACTGTAGTCCTTCCAAATACATTAGCATTTACTCAATGCATACTGGGGATGAGAACAGGCAAAAAAAGAAGCTTGAGCATCTTTCTAACTTGCCCTTGAAACCACACAGATCTATTACACAAACTAGCTACAGGCAGAAGTTGGCAGGGGCAGAGGTGCTTTGTTTATGCTTTGCTTCTCACAGCTCAGGTCCATTACAGGTTATGTAAGGCACTAGAGGCACTCCCTACCTGGGGTGACCTTCCTGGGCCCAATTATATCAATTGCAGGTGAAAGAAATGCATGCAGTTTTCAGTATTTTCTTTTAAACACTCAACCCTGCCAAGTCTCTTCATGTAAACTGACGTGGTTCTTAAAATGGACCCATTGCCAGGGGTTTTCTGCAGTTCAGAAATGGCTTTGCCCTGTTCTACTGAGAAACACAAACATCATTTTAAACTTCAGATGTATATAAATTAATACAAAATGTGATTTCTCAACATTTTAGTATCTTGCAAGTTATTAATATTGTTGTACTGGAATAACTTGTATGTCCCCCTAGAACCCTTCTATAAACAAGATACCTTTCATGAAAAGATATCTCTTTTTTAATTAAAAAAACCCTCTCTCTCATGTTTGTGCAAATGAGCAGAATTATACATTACATCACAGCAGAATTATACACTACATCACATCCATTCAGCTTACCTTTGGACCATCAGGACCATGACCTCCAGCCATACCCTTTTCACCCTGGAGTCCTGATGCACCTGGTTCTCCCCTTTCCCCTGGATTGCCACGTTCTCCCTACAAAATGGAAAATTATTACATATTTTGAAGCCAGGGTACAGCTCTGGTAGACAAAATCCTACCTCAACCATAAGTGCAGCACTGCTATTTGAACAAAAAGCCTGCGGACAAATTCTAGGAGAACTGATCAAATAAAAAAACAGCTTTATGCTTTTGTTGTTAAAGGTAGGGGAAATAGCGTGTCACTCGGCAAACTAAAAGCTGTCATTTCACAGCTGTAAACCAAATCACTTCGCAGCTAGTACTCAACACTACTTCGTGAGCTATGAAACCAATAAAGGTGGTAGATTTTACAGAAACCATCCTAAAACGTATCCATGTTTACAACCATTTTAAGGGGGAAAAAAAAAATCAAATATTCACTTTAGATGTTAAAGTCCGTATTATATATAAACTTTCAACCTCAGAGAACTGTTATGAATGTCTAAACTGTGAAACAAAATACTTACCCTAGGGCCCAATGGACCAACAGCTCCAGGATCTCCAGGAACACCCTAAGCAGAACAGAACTCACCATTAGAATGAAAGCATTATTCATAGCCTTACAGTTATGGAAATTAGAGATAAACATTTTAATTTACAAAGTACTGTGAATGTAGATGGCTATTTCTGAACATTATCTGTCATGACAAGAGGAGATAGTCCAACTCAGTTCAAGAAGATGGTCTGATTCTAGCAATTATTTTATCCAAAAGCAGTTCTTAGACAGCTTGCAGACTACATCAGTACATATTTTGAAACAGAGTGGGAAATTAAATTACCAAGAGAAGAAAAGGTAAAACTACTTTATGAAGTGAATTCTTGTTAAATTACACAAGAATTACCTGATCACCTGGCTTTCCTCCCTCACCTGGAGGACCTGGTGGCCCAGGTAAGCCCTGTAAAAAAGTCCAGATTTAATTAAAACACCAGGAATATGAACATAGTATTATATTCAGTACAAGAGTATGCCCTCAGAGATCCCCAAGTGAAATAGTTACATGAATATTTCACCAAAGTGTTTTACCCCTCTCTAAACGAGACAGAAGCCCTTCTTTAGTATTTGTAGGACATACGCATATCAGCCCTAAAAATAAAGTTCTCTATAAAGAGATTGACTTGACTTAATTAATACTTCATTATCAAAACAATTCTTTTGCTCCATATTTGGAACATCTTTGGAAAATCTCCAAATTAAAACTGAAAACGAACAACGGTTTTCTCAAGGGATACAGAGATGGTATTTAAGCCTTTGCCAGGTCCGTTCAGTGCACAGCTGATGCGAAAGCTAAGTATCATTAATTATTCTGAGCATCACTGCCTCAGTTCTGAAGTTGTGCTTTGTTAAACACCACTTGATTGATTTTCTCCAATTTAAGACATGGCTATTTATCTTTTTCTTAACAACAAAAAAAAAAAAAAAAAAAAAGAATGCACATACCTGAAACCCTGTAGGACCTGGAGGGCCTTGTTCTCCTCTTTCTCCTGCCAGACCCTACACAAAAGAAAGTAGTAAGTATACAGTAGAAGAATACAGGCAGGCCTCACAATTTTTCTTTTCTCTCTGAATATGTGTATTTTCAATGTATTCGTTTATTGTACATTTTTACTTACCCCGAGCCTAGATATACCATATAAAAGATTTAATAAGATGTATCTTATTTCTTTAAGATCCCCCTCCCCAAAATTCTGTGCTGATAGGAAAATGCTCAGTTCCATGGAAACCAAGGAAGCTAGGAAAATGAAGTACAAGAAAATTTTTCTCCTTGTGCTATTTTTTGTAATAGTCAGTAAAAGGAATTAGACTAGTGATATATATATTTTTCAATACAAAGCTTCCCATTTTTCTAGGAAATTTTTTTCATTAAATATTCTTGGTACTTTTTGTTTGGAATCAACAACTGGCATGAAGATAAATAAAAACAGAAGCAGAAAGAAGAATGAATGAATGAATCAATGGAGCGATGGATGGGCAGGCAGGCAGAGTGATAAAAGTTGACTTACTGGTGGGCCAACAGGACCAGAAGGACCAACTTCACCATCTTTACCAGGGGCTCCCTACATTAAAATGACATGGGAAGAAGTCTTGTATAGTGAACATATATAACAGAAAAGCATGGTTTTCTGTAATCACTGCAAATAAGAGTCACACTCACTCTCTGTCCTGGGACACCTGCATTGCCTGCTTCTCCAGGTTTTCCAGGATCACCCTAATTTGCAGAAATAAAAATTACTATTTTTAGATACTGCTTCCATCCATTAAAATATATGCAAATATTTAAAGTTAGAGAGATCTTGGGTACCAAGATCAGGTGCCATACTCACACTACTACCCTTTGGCCCAGGAAGGCCCATGCTGCCTGGCTGACCTCTGATTCCTATTGAACCTGCTGGACCTGGGCGTCCATCTTCTCCAGGAGCCCCCTACAGAAAAAAGGCATTTTCCACATTAAGTTGGAAAATGTTTGTATATATGAAAAACATAACATTAACCTGGTTTGGTGCTACTGTTATCAGTCAAAATGTCTTTAAAGCAGACACAGCTTTAGCCATACTGCTGGATTTAACCAAATACTACGCAATTATCATCATTGAGCTATTATGTACAAATACTTTATTGTTTCCTTAAAGAGACACTTAGAAAAGATATTTAGTTCAAAATTGTTTGAAAGTAAGTGAACACTTAGAAGTTGAGTCTTTGGAAATAAAGAAAATTCAAATTAATATAAGTAATTTCAGTGATTTGGGACCTTTGAATTACTGTTTCCTTACTGAAAGGACTAATTTTTGTGTTGCTTACCAAGGGACCAAGTTTTCCTTCAGGGCCTTGAACACCTGGATTTCCTGTCAAACCCTAAAAGCAGGAATAATATTGCTGTTAAGTTGTGCATACAATTCTATAACAATAGAGAAATGTAAATAAATCCAAAAGATATGCTCATGTTTGTACCATGGTACAAACACTAAGACGTTCTTTACACAAGAGTATCTTCTCTGTATCAAAGGTCTTCATCCTTGTCTTCACTTTACAGCTTCATACTCCGCTGTCTTTGATCTTCCCTTGTCCTATTCTTCCTTTTCTTGCTTTTACACCTCTTGAGTTTCTCACAGGCTCATCTTCATTTCTGACAACATTACCCAGTAATCTATATCACATCTTATACTTGTTGCTCCCTTTCTCTCCTTTTGTGATATTCCAAATTCCCCCCAAAGATTTTTCCTGAACAAAATATCTAGATGACATGCACCACTCAACTATGTAAGTTAGCAATCACCAACTTGAAGTGAAGGCCAGACCTTCATTATGTTATCTGTGGCAATTACGTGCTTTAACAGCACACTTCCTTCACGTGCATTAGCTGGTCTCAATCAGGGCTTTTCTTCTTTTTCAAAGACAAATGGAACCTGTGCTTCCCAACATCACCAAGATGACAGACAGGTATTTTGGCCTTTACCCTTTAAGTAGCTCCACTGAAACAAGTCTGTCCTTGTATAACAGCTTCTTAATTCTGAAAAGTTCATTGCTGCCTTTTGAAAATGAAAAATGTCATGGTTTATAGTGTACTGCTATTATTTCCTTACCCTTGCACCTGGGAGGCCAGGTTCACCAGGACGCCCAGGATCTCCCTGACCTCCTTTAGGACCAGAAGAACCTGCTGGACCACGCTCCCCTTGGGCACCCTAGAAAGAAACCAATGAGCTACTAGTTAACAGGTAGCGACAGTAAGAGGACAGTGACAGTAAGAGAAGGTTAAATAAAACCTGTATCTTGTATTAAGGACCTGTTTTTGCAAACAGAGTTCCAAATCATTAATACTTTTATTATCATTACTTTTTTCCCCAAAAATTATTACTTAAAACTTGTCTCTTCCATAAAGGAAATTTATATAAGGATTTTAGAATCTCTGTATTTTTACCAAGAAGCTAGGGATTTACAGAAACACTAGACAAATACATATGTGAGCCACTTCCCTGGAAGTGTAACAGCACTTCGGAAAGCCAAATAAGACTACCTGTTCAAGGGACAAGTCTAGAAAAACTATACCACACACAAAGAAAAGGCAATTCTTCAAATAGTTACCTACTACAGAGTAATACATAAAGCAATATACTAGCAGAAACAGGTCAGCATCTCTTATTCCAGCACGACAGAGCATTCACATTCGAGCACGACAGAGCATTAGGTCAGGGACAAGCAAGGAAAGCTGAGTATCACATGAATAGAAAGTGACTTTTCCCAAAAAAAGTTTTAGTCTCAAAACATTCAGACCCCTTTTTGGCATTTGTCAATTCCTTTTGACCCTACTTCCAATGATTTTGAGAATCTGCCCATTTGCCAAGAAGCATACGTTTATAATGGAACGCCTTCTTTCTGTATATCTGTATGTATGCAAATTTCTAAAATTACCCAAATAAAAGACAGACACTTTAATTTCATTTACCTTTGGTCCAGGCAAGCCATCAGAACCTGGAAAACCACGATTACCAGGAGCACCCTATGAAAAGCCATAAATATAAGATTATCATCTTAATTTTTACATAACTTATTGTAAATAAAGTATTAGAGTTATGGTTTGGTGGTTCAGCTTATTTCCTTACAATTTTATTGCTTCGATACTTTAAACTTGGGGTTTTTTTAACCACTTGGAGTGGTAAAAATATCAATGTTTCATTCACGCATGCTGAACAGCTCCTATGTGAACAGCCTCATTGAAAACAAGAAAGCCATTTGTACAGGGGTTAAGCAAAAAATCTGCTAATTAGCTCATCATATCTCCATCATTTCTGTTACCATACTATCCTATGCACTGAAACCACAAATGAAAATATCCAGGGTAAAAATAACGCACAGTATGACAGATTTCTTTTCCCCCAAAATAATAATTAGAAGGAAGAACTATTCAGGATGCAAAAAACATCATGCCATATCCTGATCCTCAGGGTATCAGTTTCAAAAAGAATATATCACAGAAGACAGCATCCGGAAATCACTAATCTGATCTAGAACCAAGTTATAGACACCAATTAACTACTGTTAGGAAAATAAGGTTTGACTACACCCACAATGAAGCTGTAAGAAAATTCATGGTTAGGTCAAGAGGTTTTTCAGCTTAGTAGTGCATTTCTCAAGACGTACTATTCCTTTGGATTGCTTACCCTCTCTCCAACAGGACCTGGTGGACCTACTGACCCTGGATCACCTCGAGGTCCTCTTTTCCCTTCTTCACCTACAGGGCCAATGGGACCCTGGGGACCTTGTGGGCCCTAGTGAAAGTAAAATGATTTTTTTAAAAAATCATTGTTAAGTTCATCACTTCTCAGATATATTGAAACAGACTGTCTTCTAAACATCATAAACATTTTTCCAAATAAAGGAGAAAAAAATATAGTTAGGTTTTGAATCAGTTAAAAAATGCAGCTTTTCAGCATCAGTTTTTCTCTTTTACAATGTTTATAAGCTAGTATTTCAGTAAGAAGTGCACTATGAATAAACTGTAATTCTGCAGTTCGGCTGTACAGTGCTTCTTATAATGACCTGTTTGCCCAGATAACAACAACTGTATTCAGTATTATCAACATCATTATTATTTAGTATTATTCAACAATTTGTATTTAGTATTATCAATTGGACAAGATGCAAAGGATTAAAAATTCAGTGAAACTCTTGCAGAAGTTTTCAAAGAAGGGAGAAGACAGTCAGTGGTAAGGAAACCATTACTTCATCTGTACAGTTTTGTCAGTTATTATGTGAACATTTAACTAGTGAGAAAGAAAAACTAAAGAGTGGTTGAGATGTCAAACTGACTCCAACTCTGCAGAATCACTTTTCTTCCAAAATTCACAAGTTACAGCATGGAATTAGCCATGTTCTCAAATAATCTTTCACACACACTAACTGTGGGCTAAACAGCTATACATATAATCAGGTATAAATATTTATATTAATGTATAAAATATAATTAATATATCCATAACTACATATATATAAAATGTATTAAATCTATGTTTAGAATATAAAGGAGTGGGGGTTTTTTATGATTAGCACACAGACTGTGCTTTTAAATGTCCAGACACACATGGATCTGTTTCTCATGAGATGAAGAAATTAGAATAAACTCATTCTGTGTGCACAGAAACCTCACTACATGCATTAATTGGTTTCTTTGTCCTCGAGTCCTGTAAGGTCTATAGTGGGTAGGTGATTTGTAACATCAAAGGCCCTTCTTCCCCGTTCATTCTTAATACCATCTAGCCAGGTTCACTGTGGTTTGTTTTCCACAATAATTATGCAAAACACAAAAGTAATCTCATGATTACAAGCATTAGAAGTGTCTTGAAAAGTGTAAGGATCTATTCAAAATACTCATACAAGCCTTTGTGATTCCTTTTCATGTTACAAAGCATATGCAGACTTACAGGTTCACCTTTGGGTCCTGCTTCTCCCTTGAAACCTGGGACACCAGGGTCTCCCTGAAAACAAAACATGAGGTTAAAACTCTGCATAAATCATTCAACCATTTTGGATTATGCTATGAACCAGAAGAACATTACCTAGTTTAGTAACTAGTTGTAGTTGATAGAATGCTTATAATCGTTTGTCTTTCCCCTAGTGTGCTTGTTTATTTTCTCGTAATCAAGACAAAAATTTAAACGAGACAATTTCAGGATATAATTGTTACTGTTTGTCCATGTTTATATAGACACTCTTCTTTCTTAGACCTCTAAGAAAGCAAAAACAGTACTGTGGACACACAGAAGATTCATAAGATCCAAGTCTCAGCACAGTCACTGACTAATTTATTTAAAGGAACCTCACTGCAAATCACTGTTTTAGTTTCATAGCATGACACATTTGCTAGACACCATAACTTCCACAGAGACAAAGACGTCATTACCGGCTGGCCTCGAATACCAGGTGGGCCAGTACTGCCTTGTGGTCCTGGGGAACCGGGTGGACCTGATAAGCCAGGGGGTCCTCCAGTGCCTGGAGATCCCTATAAATAGAAATAACAGCAAGCACAGTAAAGAAAAGTAATAAAAATAAGGAAAGAAAATAAATCCACTTAGACAATTTTTTCAAAAGGGGGTATGATCACTTACAGTTGGGCCCTTAGCACCTGGGGAACCATCTGTTCCTTCAGTACCCTAAAAATAATGTACCAGTCATTAAAATTAATTTTAGTGAGGAGGGTATCAATAACAAAAGCAGATGATGACAGTTATTTTATCCACTTCACAAGACCAGACAATAAAGGCTATTAAATAAGCACAGCAACGTAAGATCTACTTGTGCAAATGCTAATATGAGTAAAAAAGTGTGCAAATTAATGTGACTTTTGATCTTTAATGTCCTATGTTTAAGCTTAAGCTTTAAAGTACTTGTAGGATTGTGACTGTATCAGGCTGTGTAACTTCCATGTTTCAAGGTTTAATTAAATAATGAAAACTTCTTTTCAACAAGGCAACAAAGAGGCAACATGCACAAGCTGAGCACCGAGGAACTCAATGTACTTACAGGAAGACCTTGTGATCCAGCTGGGCCCTGTGGACCTGTTTCACCTCTTTGTCCTTGAGGACCTTCAGGACCACGAGGACCCGTTGGACCTGCTTCGCCCTAAGATTTCACATGAGACAACAACTGGAGATTATTTTACTCTAAAAAGTAGCACTTCAAAGTAACTAAGGAGGAATACTGAGTTTATAAGAGAAAAACAATTCAAGTTTTAAAATAGTTTATTATCCTTAAAAATATATTTTTGCTTATCTAATTCTACTTCTATGTGAATGTAGACTTTAAAAGTACAAACAGAATTTTTCCTCAATGTATGTAAGGACAAGGAAACTTCCTACGGAGAAGCAGCACTATATCCAGTATCCCAAATCAGATCAAGTATTTTAGATACACATCTGTCTAAAATTGCAGTATTTATCTGTAATTTGACAACTTTTTTTTAGCTTCATTAACAGCTAAGGCTTAAGATTTAGAAATGGAGGCGGGGGTGTTGCACAGTACAGATTAACTCACTGTTTCAGCACTATATTAAATATAAAACCCCTGTAAGATTGGATCTCCTTGAATTTTATATTTATATAGGAAATTGGCCTTTTGGAACTGACAGCTGTTAATATCATGTCTTCATTGCTTAGCTTTTATGGGTTCAAAGCAGCTATTCCAATTTTACATCACCTGATGATCAAACTTGAAGGTAGATCCTCCTTCTCAAAAGCTTTCATTGATTCATCATGTGGCAGCTTTTCCAAACATTTATTTAGGTATTAAGTAGTGCTTAGCTGTACCAAAACATTTTATGACATGCACTAAAAGGTCTATCATTTAATTGTATAAATTATGTTAATACTCTTATTAAGACCTGTTTCCAAAAAGCTGTTTTGTGAATCGTGCCAGCTTTACAACAACTCAAAACATCTGCTGAACTTGGCTACCTGACAGTTTCTTCTTGTGTAATTTTTTCCTATCATGTTTTAGGATTGTAAAGGAACAAAGAGGAGCAACTGTGTGGAGGGCAAATATAAGAAGTATAAGGAAGCTATATGGATTGGTTTTTCTATCTTCTTTGCA